GAAATAGTAACGTACAATATAGTTTATTTTCGTACACTGCTTTAAAGGGAACAATTTTAAGGCTGGTTTTCACTATGTCATATTTCGTCCTTTATCCATACCCTTACCGATGATATTATGGGCTAAAAACTGACAGACAGCCGATTTTGCAGCACATGTACACACTTAAGACACATTCTATTTGAAATCAGTAGCAGTGGCCTCTCGACATATTAAAGTTGGGGGAGCAATGTTATTGTTGCAAAAGTACTGAACTTTTTGATTAAACATCGTAATACTTGCCATGGATAAAAGAAATTAAACAATACGATGATATTAAATTTGTAAACAATGAAAAACAATTTCTGAATATCATGCGGAAACTGATTTCCAAATGCCCATAATAAAACATTTAAAGAAGCGCATAAATCTCAATTGTTGACCTATTCATTCATAGAGTAGATTTATACGGTTCTTGTATCATTGATAAATCTATACCCTGATTCATGCAATACTACACTCTACCCAACACAGCTACTGTGCATAAATTAAACCATTCAACAGTCTTTAAATGATATTTCGTTGATACTTAATAAATCTTCGCGTGAAGTGTAATGCGAAGCACGTGTTTACCACAAACGAATCGAGCGAAGGAATGACGCGATTATAGAATTAATTGATGAATGAAGCGATGCGGTGATGGGAAGATCAATTTGGTGAATGGCTGAAGAATAAGGGTAATTTCAAATGATGTGGAGCATCATAAATAAATTTAAACTGTGATAAATCAAAGGCAAATTTTTAGAATTTCAGCAATGAGCTTGGCTTTAATGTCTGTGAATGACGACAACACACAGCCTAGCGTCAACATACATACGTATTGGGCTTAACTTCGAGTTTTAATATATGGTTCATTCCACGGTGACGGGTGTGACATTTCAACTCACATTTTAAGAATTAAGCCTTAAACTTTAATATGAAATTTTTTGAAACGAGTATTTTCTAATAGGTCTCCGAGATATACACAATGCCCTATCTCACTTCAAAATGTACTGAAAATGTGCTGATATAGGGCGTTTTTGAATCGGCAGCTGAAATAGGGCGTTTTTGAAACGAATTCCGAAATAGGGCGTTCTTAAACCAAATTCTGAAATAGGACGTTTTTTGAAAAGTTTTTGAGATAGGGCATTTTAGAACTGGCTGCCGATACACGTCGATCTTCCACTCAGCAGTCGATATGTACCTCTGAAAAAAAACACCCGATACATACATACATACATACATACATGTAATAACATGTATATCACTGCATACCTTCCATGCCAATCATACCGTCGCCAACGTGCGCAATGATGCGTCAACCAGATATTTAAAGAGCGCCGAGATAATTCTACAGCAGAAAATATAGAGTGTATAAAAGGAAGCAAGCGATAAAAATAAATCAGTGTAGCATGCAAAATCTACTCATAGATTCTTCAATGTAAATATTTAACTAAGTTCTGCGAACTGGCGCGCACGCTGCCTGAGCGATCTAACCGCCAATTGTGCACCGGCTTGCAAATCTCTGCCAGCTGGTACTCATCTTATTATACCAATTAGGGCAAATGTATTTGTTTAAGATACATTCTTTCTTTTATAAATCATATTCTGCCGTCTGCCCTCTAACTAGTCTAGCCGTGGCTTTCTAAACTGGGCAAGAAGCATGCAGCCAATTAATATACTCGTAATTTGCATTCGCACTTGTTAGTCGCGTACGCGTGCGAAAAAAACGTCTACTTATGTGACATACTTACATACTTATACATATATATTTATTTACACACAAATTGACATACAACAACTCCCACAAATAGCAGACTGCAACAATTGCATTTCGTTGTTGTCCTCAATGCAGGTCGTTCATAGTGTCTGTCTGATGTGTTATTGTTGTTGCTGTTTGTTGCGCTCACCGGGCCACTGCCTGTTGTAAATATGTATTCGTATTATGTAAACGACTGAGGTTGTAGCTTAAGTTGTCGTTGTTGCTGTGCGTGGGTCTGTTGATAAGCTTGTGGTTTGCGGTGAGTAGTGTGGCATTTTTTTTTTAATGCCACCACATTGCGTCACCACTTTCGTAACGCCAATGCACTACTTGTAACAATAACAAATGAGTTTTGTGTGTAATGACATCACTCAGATACAATGATGTGGGTATTTCTTGGAAAAGTTACTTGTTGTTTACATACACTAAC